ATGTCATTTGACCAAATAAACACTGAAAACAAGCGTTTTTTGAAGAAAGAATACCAGACTAATATTTCTAGGACAACTATGTTATCAATCAGCAATACCCAGATCAAACATAATGACTCAAGCTGAATACAGAAAATATAAGATCATAAGCAACAGGCTCGCACCAGTAAATCTGTTAGCCACAGTTCCATCGACATCACCCAATGCAACCCCTTATCATTTTGGGCGACAAATAACCCACGGAAGTACACTCGTAAGAATTTATAATATACCCATCTTCAAAGGTCAATTATATTTTTCACCCAATTTTTCTTTGAAAATAGTTCACATTTTCAAAAAGAGCAAAAAAAAGTGTGGAAAAAAGCGTACTATAAAGTTTCCTCTTTTGCAGCATGACATTCGGGCCCGGAAGACAGAACAAAACAAAAGCAAATAATTCAGATAGTTTTGAGAATTTACCACTATCGTAGCTCGTTCTTGATATTCGAATTCAAAACTGATGTTTCAGCAGCATTATTCATTAAGGATGCAGTGGTATCAATCTAAATTAATTAAACTCAGGATTAACAGAGCATTGAAGCCGAAAATACCTAAAAATTATTGGATGAGAGTAACAAAAAAACCTTTATTGCAAAAGGAAAAAAAACGATTTTTTGAAACAAAATATGGCTGCTTCAGCCTTTAAAAACAAACTAATCAACGCTGTTATGCTTTTGTTTTCCGCTCAAGCAATTAAATCAGACCTTTTTCAAGGGAAAAATTTTTTCAAGAAAAAAAAAGAAAATCATTTTTTATAAGAATAAAAAAAATTCAAAAATATTTCCTTGCAAACATTTAAACTTGTCATTATACTAGCAACTCGAAAGAAGTGTCTCCATAAAATATCAGTTGACCTTAAACCAATTAAGCAATAACTTTTTCCTCATAACCTGCTAAAGCAATTAGCTTAGAACCGCAAAGAATATAACTTGGCTGTAAAACCGGGCAATGAAAAAATCCATCGTTAGCAAAAAACTTCATAAACCCAATTTTTCCAAAATGAAGAAGGAAAAAAGCAAGTTTCAGTCCCATCATAAAATAAAAAAAAATAAAAACTGTTAAATAAAAAGATGTCTGCCCTTATAAAAAATAAAAAAATTCATCCATTTTGGAAAAAAAATTTTTTAAAAGAATCCCCAAATTTTTTTCTGAATTATTCTTACATAATGCCTTTCTACATCCACATAAATATCCAAAAAATCACAAATTTAATAATCAGAGGTTTTGAATAAAAGCAGGAGTAATTTTCATATAAATACCTCTCTTTGGGTTATACTCCTCTCTACAAGAGAAGTTGTAGCTGCTCCCGTGATCGGATCAATATATTCATTTCTTTCTACTGACGTTTCATTTTGCAAAATTCTCTCGTTAGGGGAAAGATATAAGGGAGACACGCTTGCTTCTTCAGAAATGTTAGCCAATCTCTGAAACAGACAAAATTTAAAAGATTTTAGTTAGGCAGGCGAACCACTAAAGAGCAAATAAAAAATAAAAAATAAAAATTTGTTCGAGAAAAGGATGCTAAATTAGAAATTCACTCTACTTCCTTCTCTCCTTTATTTTTTATTTTTCGCAATCTTAATCATCACGATATGTAACTCAAACGGAAGCTGTAATGCTCAAAAAAAAAAAAAAAATGACACAATGTAGCGCAATAAAGAGACAATAGATTTCTTAAGAGTACCAAGTTAACATTTACTAACAATAAATAAAAAGCGTAATCGAAAAAAACTTCAACGAACATTATTGATCTGTTGCACTTGCTTCATCACTTGTTCTGCCGCAGCTGAATCAGCTTCTAAAGATTTATATCTGAAAACAAAAGATGAAATGATCCGTAAAACGTACTTTTACAGAAAAATATCAAGTAAATAGCTGATTTACCAATATTTTTTGCAGTGAACATAAAATATTTTAAAATGAGCAAGCAAATAGATAAGAAATCACAAATAGTTTACCTAGCCTGTCGCCATTCTTGCCGTTTCTGAAGTTCCAAAGCCCGTTCTTCTACACAATTTAATGGTTCACCAGGTGGAATAGGTGATGGTGAGGCAGCCAACATGCGATTTTCTGCTTTTTTTGTCCGAACCACCAGCGGAAGAGATCTGTGCGCAGTTCTAAAAAAAAAGCCGATAAACCCCGCTATCTCAATTCTACATTAGTTGTTTGAATGCATTAATCATAATCAAAGCAGAGCAAATGAAAAATAAGCCACTGAGAAACAGTTCAAAAATGAAGAAAAATTGAGAACAAAGGCACACAGATCCAAAAAGAAATTTAAACTCACTCATGCGCAGTTGCGCTACTGTTTAAGGAAGATTCAAACACAGCTGCATCGTCACCTTCGCCATTTTCCTTTCCCTTGTCAACGTTTTCTTTTCCATCAGAATGAAAATGTTGCCGAACTGAAAGTTAATGGTGTAACTCATGAAGAAGCCAAAAAAACATTTATTCCACATTAGAAAATACATGGCAAAAATATCACGTATATTTTTATTAAAATTACTAGCAAAGTGACTAAAGAAATTCAACAGTTCCAAGTTACCTTGTAAAATCATTGATTATTAAAATTTTACTTCTCTTCAACTGCCTATTTATCAAAAGAATATGTAGCTATCAAAAATGCACAACTTCCTCGGCATTTCAGAAACAACGTTTCTTAAGTTTATTATACAAATTTTATAAATCCCAATTAACTAAACGAAAGCACTGCGCTACTGATACCTGGAAAAGCCATAAAGAATGGCGAATAAACCAAAGCAGATCGAGCAACTCAAGCAAAAAATTCTATAAATT